TTGTAGAGCCTGGGAAACTGTATGCTCACCAATCTTTGTGAACAGAATGAATAAATAGCATGCCTTGCAAATATATATATATACACAACTTTTAAAAATACATGAATGATGTGATTAAAATAATACAAATTCATTTAAAAGCATTAGTGACTATATCTTGGAGTTTATGTACCCTATGCTTCAACAACTACTAAGATGTAACTATTATGTGGCATCCTTACAATTTTTAGACATTTAAAAGTTTCTCCATTATTGTAAATTTGGGAGTGAATGCTATCAATATGTATGGATATTATGAAAACTCTTAGAGCATTGAGGTACATGAAGAAATGATACATATGTCACATCCGTAAGTCTGCAGTCCTAAAGAAATGAATTCTGTGGGATAGAAAACATGAATGTAAAAAAAATGCAAGAAAATTTTCCACCAAAAAAGATGTTTGACAGAGTACAAAGTTCATAAATCCCAGGTAGGTATTTATAAGGGGTGGAAAACAACAAAAGCTCTCATTCATTGCTGGTAGGAATATAAATGCTACAGCACTTTGGAGATAGTTTACAGTTTTTTTACAAAGCTGAATATAATCTTAGCAATTCTATTCAGAGTTATTTGTCCAACTGACTTTAAAACTTATGTCCACACAAAAAACTTGCTAATAAATGTTTATAAAGCTTGATTTATAATAACCAAAAATTGAAAGTAACCAAGATGTTCTTCAATAAGTGAATGGATAAACTGTGGTACACCCAGACATTGGAATACTGTTCAGCAATATGAAGAAATGAGCTATTAAGCCATAAAAGGACATGAATAAACTTTCAATACATATTTCTAAGGTAAAAAAAAACAGTCTGAGAAGGCTACATGCTGTATGATTCCAATTATATGACATTCTGTAAGAGGTAAAACTAGAGACAGTAAATATCAGTGGTTACCAGAAGATTGCAGGGAGGTGGGGAAGTTTGAATAGGCGAAGCACAGGGAGTTGTTGAGGGTAGTGAAACTATTGCATATGATACTGTAAGTGTGGATTCATGACACTATTCTATCAAAACCCACAGAAATTCGAAGGATAAGGAGTTAATCTTAATGTATGCAAATTTAAAATTATCCTTGATGAAGTCAAGAGAATCCCAGGATGGAATGCAGAATGTAACAAAACCAGCTAACTATATTACAAATATATAGAACAGGCTCTCAGAAGCAGGTAGGAGAATAAGTTGCAGACCTTAGTAACTTGGAAAATAAATGGAGTTTAAGACTACAAATAAAAAGAGCTGTACAGAAAAACTAAGCTCTAGTTTGATAAAGTTCTTTCCATTGGTGCTAGGGGTTAACTATTTGATATTTTTATACACATGAACAAGAATTGAAAAATTAAGTAAACAGATGGCAAATGGTGAGAGCCAGACTTGTCATTATTGAAGTGGGAATTTATAGTTAAGCAAGGGGAGGTAGCAAGAACAATGCATATGTTACAGTTCGAATTATTTTTAGATATGTGTTTAAAAATTGGTTATTATATACACATATATTCCCCTGCTATGTCAGTGATGAGGGCCAAGAAACAAAACTACCCTAGTAGCAATGTTCACAATAATATCAAGAACTTGTTTTCTAATACCATCCTCTAGTAAGTGAACCAGGGCTCCTTTGAGATGTAGCTGAGTCAAGACTTGGGACAGGAAATATACAAGTTGAAACTGAGCATCTTATACTGCCAAAAAGACATAAAATGGCAAACAGAAAAATAAAAACCCACAATTATAGGACTATGCCAAAGGGACATAATAATCCACTGAAAGAGTTACCAATGGCCAAAGCTGGAAGATTTGAACAACCCATTAATTATAGTATCAGAGTATAACACAAAATGTAAATTAAATACCCATGAGTTTATGATGATGTAAATAAAAGATTAAATAAATTAATAAAAGAAGGACTAAAGACAAATCTCCTTTGCACAAGAATTTCAAATATTTTATAAAGCTATTCTACCCTCAGGGAGGGGATCTCACCACTCAGTAAGTCTGGATAAAGCAGAGAGTGACTTCCTTTCTAAAGAGTACTATGTGAAAATGGTGGGGAGGAAGAGTACTTATATAGTGGAGAAACCTGGACAGCACTACCTCAGCCTGAAAATCAATACAGATGTCGTGCTAATGGTTATGTGCTCCTGATATGATGAAAAAGGTGCTTTACTTCTGTGCTTTTCCTGAACAAGAAATGTACATATTTCTTTTGACTTCCTCAAACTATTTCTGATAATCATTACAGAATTACACTATTGCTATACTATTATTTTATGACATAAAACATTGGAAAATGCCATTATGATGGCTTGCATTTTCCCCATCATGGTAATAATAGTAAGATCACTACTTCAGTCTTAATTTGCAACATTTAGTTTGATATTATTTTGCTGAGCACTTCTCCATTGCATAAAAAGAACATTAAAAAAGAAGTGTGCTATAACCTTCTACTATAAAAGCAAACCTAACATTTCCCTAAGAATATGTGGGTCAGTGATTTTGTTAAGTAATATTGAGTGCTCAGTATCATGTCAATTATAATTGCATTGTTTTCACTTTCACACCTGTGAATAAATATAAATATTTTAGTTTGGAATGTGAAACATCTTCACTATGAAGAGAATATTGGAGAAAAGGAAAATGCAAAAAACATATTCAAATGTAATGCCTTAAGAATACAAATAATCTCTTCCATTGTACTGTTGGTCCCAAAGGAACAGCAAAAATTGGTAAAAAATGACATCTTAAAGCATGAACTGCCCAAGCAGGTGGCAATTAGGAAATAGTCCTATGTCAAGAAGCTGAAAGTAGATAACAAAGGTGATTAGATATTTAGGATTGACTGTGATACTTGCTGGAGAAAAACTGTGCCTTATTCAGTAAAAGTTCTTTGAAACACTCTAAAGTTTCCATAAGAAATCAGCTTTTCTTGTTTTCAAAAGTGTAGTTTTAAACATGCAAGTGCTATTATAGACATGCTGACACTTTCAAAGACAGAGCCTGGATAAGGGTGATTTGAGGCAACTTTGGTGCAAACTTTAAGGAGGTGTTTGCTTTCAGGGTCACAAAAATGCCAAACCTTCACTAAGAATGAGTGTCTTCTTGAGTTTGCACCCTAAATACCTCATTTGCCTCACTGTAGTCTGGGTCTGGTTTAAAGAAGGGACCTTTATATGCTAGAAATTATCTGACTACTTAAGAGAAGAAATAAAACATAATATGATATTTTTAAGTCAGTATTTGGTCATTCTTTGTGCTTTTTTTTGTTAAATAGTCCACAGAATATTTTTGGAATGTTATAAAAGAAGGAAAAGATTATATACATAGTTCACCTCCAAAACATAAAGGTAGCATGTAGGAAGAAAAATCTATTATAACATGAAACAAAGAGACCAACAGCAAATTTATGTCTGCATAGGGCAAGCTAAAATTATACACAACATTATTTAGTTATAGAGAATCACTGAGTTAATGGGCATTTTAAATTTGTTTATCAGCTTACAATTGCATATTTTTCTATATCAGGTCATGAATGTGCATAGAACTTCAAGTGAATTTCTTGATTTAAGACAGCTATAGGTTTATTTTTTTAATTCCAACTTAAAAGTAGTACATATATGGATTTGATTTGCTGTAGATTAAGACTGAATTGTTTAACTATGCCCCCATGAAAAAGAGTAATACTACACAGAGCCTGGAGAAATATTCGTGTTAGTTTTATTTGAGATGATACTCGTTTACTTGGTAGGCAAAACCTTGAATCCATGTCTTTTTTGTATGTGCTTACTGAGGATTTCAGTTTCCCCATCTTATAGTTATAAATCTGAGCTTTTGCAGGGAGGACTGGGTTACAAAACAAAGGGATTAATTGATACAAATTGATAGCACAAAATAGTTATGGGGATGTAAATTACACATAAGGAATATAGCCAATCATACTGTAATAATAGTGCATTGTGTTAGATGGGTGCTAGACTTATTGTACAATCACTTTGTAAGTTATATAAATGTCTGACTACTATGCTATGCAACTGAAATTAATATTATACCTATGTCAACTATAATTAAAAAATAAAACATAATTATTTTAACAGATTTTATTTAGTTATTTTTAGAGCTAGGGGAAGGGAAGGAAAAAGAGAGGGAGAGAAACATCAATGTTTGATTGCCTCTTGTGCCCCCTCCTGGGGACCTAGCCTGCAACTCAGGCATGTGCCATGACTGGGAATCAAACCAGTGACTATTTGGTTCGCAGGCCAGAGCTCAATCCATTGAGCTACACCTGCCAGGACGAAACACAATTCTTTTAAAAGAAAAATAATTAAATTGTTAAAATTTCAAAACAATAATAGCAATAGACATATTTCTAGTAGAATAAATTTAGAAAAGCAAGCATCATATTAAAGAAATGATGAGCAGTCACAATAAGGGGAACAGAGAAATTAAAACCATATGTGTTTGCAAGAGAGAGGCAGATAGGCAGAGACATAGAAAACAACAGAGAGGGAATGAATTTAATATAAATACATTGGTCTCCTTTCCCCTGAAAGTCAGAAACCTCTTGTGTCATAACTTCTTTGAAAACCCAGGTTTATAAGTGCCCCTTCCTTTTTTTTGTATCCTTTATTTGTGGATAACCTCCAGCAATATTTAGCCCTTTGAGATTTTGAATATTCATATTTATGGATTTGTTATCACTCTGCTGAAAATCTCTTTCATTACTCTCCTCTAGTTCTTTCAATGCCAAATTTTCAATTAGGTGCTAACCTTAATAGTACAGCTAACCCTCTTATCTGGAAGTACATTATGCTTGTTAGGCCAAGGCTTTGCAATCTATTTTATTTACTGAAGTGTCCCTTTCAGGTATGGTTAACAGCTCAGATACAGGACATCCAGTTAGTTCTGTTTGATTTTCAGGTAAATTGACCTCCTTTTGCCCCAAATATTGCAGGGGACAAATTATTCTTATACTTACCTAGCAGAGGAGATACCATGATCATGAAGGTGGTTTTCCCAGGGCAAGACTTATCCATTGCACTCCGATGTGCTGATCCCTACAATTTCCCCTATTGTGGGAAACTCAACTTCATAATTTTTGGTAGTGGGGGACTGTTCGCACTCTCCTCTGAAAGAAAAAAGAATATCCCTTTGTCCAAAATTCTAATTACACTCGGTGTTAATTTTTTATTTTTGCTAGTTCTAGCAATCTTACTTCCAGTTAAAGTAAGACAGCATTATGCAGCCCTTATGTCCTCATTCCACTTTCACAAATTTTATTCTACTTAATCCTCATAATAACTCTGTGATGTCTGAATAATCATCCCCATTTTATTAATGGAGAAATAATCTCAGAGATTTGCACAAGGCCATAAAGCTAATGGCTGGCACATTCAGGATTCAGATGCTTCAGTGACATGAAACACAATAGGCCTTTCCCTCCACAATGCTGTCTCCCCCTCAGTCTTTCCTGTTTTTCTTACATAATAGAAAACACACAAAAAGGAAGTTAGTTCTTCTTACTCAGTGTGTTTTAAAATACATTTTCCCTGCTTAAAATGTAAATTATGGAAACTTTTAGGCATTCATATAGGTATAGAGAATAGTATAGAGAACTCCCAGGTACTCACCACCCATCCTCAACAATTAGCAACATTTTTACCCAATCACATTGCATCTGTTCATTGCCCCCCCTACTTTTTTTCCTAGAGTATTTTCAAGACACCATATCATTTAAGTTCTTGCTATTGTCACAAACTTGGTCCATAATTACATCATAGTTAAATACTAACCAACCATTCTTACTCATCTTGTAATTGAGCAAACTGTGGCCCATGCCCATAGCACCTTAATGCATAACCCAACATTTAGTGTTGGAAGAAACAGGTTTTTATTTACAGGATTCCAACCTTGGTGGGGGGCTGGGACCGCTTCTGCTCAGAGCCCTTTTCTCCCAAGAGACCCAGCAATTCCCTTTCTCCCCACCTAGCTACCAGCAAAAACCATGCCCAGAAGTTCCCCACATCTTTATCCATTCCAAAGCCAACTGTAAAAACAGTTCTCCATCTCTTATGTAAAGTACACTTGTGGGTTTCAAAATAACTATCCTCTCACAGCAGCTCTACCCTTCAGGATCTGGGTTGCACTGTTCTCAGCCCCCATGTACTGGTTCAAGGAAACATTTGCCATGTTATACTGGATCATGGTGGAGTCCAGGGAGACACACTTCCCAAGAGAGTGGTTTCTCTATACATCCTCTAGAGAAGCTAAAGTCAGCATTCCTCTGTCACAGTTCAGCATTCCAGGCATCTCCCACTAATATGTGCTTAGTTCAACAGGTTCTCACAATTCCCAGCTCCATCTGCTTTGCCAAGTATCCTTCAGGCAGGTTTCCCACACAGTCTCTTCTTTCCTACTCTAGCTTCTTTCTCACCACAGACCGGCATGGCTGCTCCCTACACTACAGCCTGCATAACTGCATCTCCTCATGGCTACTTCCCTTTCAAACCATATGGCTACATATTTCTCTTTCCCATGGTAGACCAGCTCCCCTTGTCTTTCAGACTGTCCTTAATTTAAATGCCTACCCAGAACTACCTATGTGACCTCACATCCAGCCCCTTCTACAATGGGGACCTTTGTCAGTTGCCCTGAATCTTTACTTTCATTCTGCTGCCATCTTTAGTCAGGGTAAGAGTACCCACTGACATGAAGCCCCCACCTCCCTGCCTCTCACGTAGGCATGGTGTAAGTTCCTTGACTATGTCAGGAGTTGCTATACATTCTAAAAGCCACATACTCCTTTTGCCATGGATAGTAGCACAGCTATTATCTTGTCTTTTGTTATGCAAAGTATCTTAAATTCTGTATCATTCCCTTCCCTCAAACCCCAGCCCTGGGCTGTGGGGACTTTTGGGACCCCTCACTCTGCACCCCATTACAATCTTATGCTAGCAATGTCTTTACACCTAATTACCCTGCATTTTTTTTGTGTGTCAGCCTGATTAATTAATTTGAGATTAGGTCTCCATTCTCAAACTGGTTCTCTTTAGCAAAAAGTTTACTAAAAAATAGATTTACTCTCTTAGAATTTTAAAAATATTTTAAAATATGTAAAAACATAAAAATAATACCAGAGTTATTAAATAATTATTTTTGGCAAATCATGACAAGTAAATAAATGTTTATTTGGGGTTACCTAAGCACTTGCAAAACCTATTGAGCACTCTAAGTTGAGGGGGGAGGGAGGAATGGGGGGAAAAGTACAGGGAAAAAGAAACATAATTGGTAGGCATTAAATAGATGGGAAGTCAAAAATGGTATAGGAAACAGAGAAGTCAAAGAACTTATATGTGCAACTCATGGACATGACCTAAGGGGAGAGTGCTGGAGGGTTGAGGGGTACAGGGTGGAGTGGGGATAAAGGGGAAAATGGGGAAAACTGTAATATCATAATAAATAAAATATACTTAAAAAAGAAAATAATTTTCTATTTTGCAAAAAGTGGTGAGGCGAATTCCTTCCTTTTACCTTTATGAAAATGAACTCATCAGGGAACTGAATGGTATATGGAATTTTGGCCTTAAATGTAATATGGAAGAATTCTACCAACCATAAATAGTTAGAAGCAATATCCAGAAAAAAAATGTACACCATCCTTAGTAGAGCATAATTAGAATGATGTTAAAGTGGAATGAAGTTAGCCATCCTATAACTCTTATACTGTATAAGCTGCCACTGTGCTTAATCAGAAAAAAAGAAGGGGGAGGGGGTAAAGTGTACATTTTGCAAAATGCTTGGATATTCTTTAATAAATAAAGTTAATGCTGTCATTAGTGGCAGCTCTAAGCAAAACTCTTACCTTTTTTTCCTATGGATAAGCACTCTTTGGGGAGATGAATATTGCTACAGTCATATTGTGCTTTCAGTTAATGAGATGTGGGTTCTATTTGTTAGAGTTTTATGGTAATGAACCTTATAATTTACTGACAAACTGGCTTGCTTTCAAAACATTCTCTTATTGCACTGACTTTTTTTTTTCATCAGAAACATTGATGTGCTAATTTGTGTGTTTCTGGCAGCAGATGTGCACCTTCACTGAAAGGCTGCCAGAATGAGGGGAAAGGACAGGAGAGAAAAATAAGAGAAAAGGTTTCAGAATTTTCAATTGGTAATAAAATCCATACACAAATGAAACATTGCTGTTTACATGAAATATCCATGAGCTCAGTAAGTGTGTTATCTGAAATATCAAATATTTATCACTAAACTTTGGTTGAGTTACAGATATCTTAAGTGCCAAATCCCTTTATCCAAAGTGAAAACTGAATGGCAGGATTTGTCATTTAAAATTCAATAGCTGTAACTAGATGTCATTAAGTTAAAACTAGATGAAAAACACTTTCCTTCCCTAAAAGGGCGGAAGATATTATCTTTCTAAGTAATGTGCATTACAGTTATTAACAGTGATTTTTCAGTACAGACCTTCTAGATTCTGTTTGTTTCTCCAGCTCTGAAATTGCATGACTAATAAGGATAAAAACTTTGTTCTCAAATTCCAACCCCATTGTAGTTACTTACTGCCAGCTAAGTGTGGTGTGTAACAGAAATCATGCCATCTTTAGTAGGAAATTGAAATATTCTAATCATAGGTATATCATCACTAATAAAGGACATATAACCATAATGAATTTTTCAAACACCCTCATTAAACAGAAAACAAAGCACAAATCTTTTTGTAACACTTGTATTGAGAAAAAATGAAGGGACAGTAAACTGTTTGTGGTGCCTTCCATCTTAGTGGGAGTTAGGAAACAGGGAGGAAACTGAACTTGAAAACAGAGATTCATTCACTGGCGGCTAAAAACTCCATGTTGAGAGGTAGTTGTACATAATCCCAGTCAGTGGAAACATAGCTCTCAGAAGGTGCACCATAGTGAAAGGGACCAAAACCCTAAGGCCTTTTGGCATATTGATTTTAATCTGGTTATTAAAAATCAAAAGACTCAGAAAGAGCCTTTGACCATCCCTACTTTCTTGCCTAAGAGATTCAGATGGAAAGGCTTAGTCCATTAAGGAAATTTCAGGAGTTAACCTTAACCTAATTTAAATTAAATGTGGTAGTTAGGAAGGCACCAAGGGAGTATTAATTAGATTACTCCTTGTGTCTCATGCATTCTGGGTTGTCTAGCCAAAATTTGCCTGCCAACTTACAAGGGTTGCTCTTTTTCAACTACCTGTAAATTGTCTACTTCCTTTGAAATCCTATCACTGATCTACTCTACCTTTCTATTTTGTCCAAAATAATGATGTATATGCCCAATTTTACCTCTTTGGAACTTTTATGCTTATGTTAATTCCCTTTGGGTATGTATTAAAATTTGATTTTCTGTCCTGGCTGGTGCAGCTCAGTGGATTGAGTGCCAGCCTGTGAACCAAAGGGTTACTGGTTCAATTCTCAGTCAGTGCACATGCCTGGGATGCAGGCCAGGTCCCTAAGTAGGGGATGTGTAAGAGGCAACCACACATTGGCATTTGTCTCCCTCTCTTTCTCCATCCCTTCCCCTCTCTCTGAAAGTAAATAAAATATTTTTTTATTTTTTCATTTTATTCTGTCTTTGATAATTTTTAAAAGATTTTAGTTATTTATTTTTAGAGAATGGAGAAGGGAGGGAGAAGGAGAGAGAGAAACATTGATGTGTGAGAGATACACTGACTGCTTGATTCTCACATGCCCCACACTGGGGACCTAACCCATAGCCCAGGCATGTGCTGTGACTTGGAATCAAACCTGCAACCTTTCAGTTAGTGCTCAATTCACTGAGCCACATTATCCAGGGCTGTCTTTGTTAATTTGATTCTTAGCTCAGCTAGAATACCTTAGAATGAGTGAGGAAAGGGGCTTTTTTTTTTTTGCCTTCATAGTAATCGCTTAAGGAAATTAAACACAAGTGTCTCAGAAGAAAGACTCTATTCTACTTTTATGTTAAGATGCTTCTGGGTACATATGCAACCAAATAAATACTAAACTCTTATTTTCAGTGAATTATTGGATATTTCAAATCCACAGAAAAGAGTGACTAAAAAGTTTCACAACATTTGTAAGAAGTATAGTCCTTGCCTTCAAAGACC